AGTGTCTGAAAGTGAACAAACACCTTGTACTTCTCTTTGGCCTTCTCTTTCCCAAGCTGCTTTAGCACCTTGTCTGCTAGCAGCATGCTCTGTTGGTTCTGGAAGGCCTCGAGAATACACACCGCTGTGACATCTGGAGATCACAGGAGAAAAACGCAGCAGACTGTCAATGAGAGTTGCACCTCAAAAGTTAAACTTGGAACAAACATTTTTATAAAAACATCTCACCCTCTAGACACTCCTTCCTGTTTTCTAGTCTCTCCAGAGCTTTAGCCCTCCTGAACAGAGCCTTCACATAGCGTGGATTCAGCTCAACGGCCTTACTGCAATCCTGTACCACCTCTGTCCACTTCATCTGAAATCAAAGGTTCAGTTAAGTTTTAATTTGAAACATCCCAGCTGTGTCTCAATGAGAGATCACTTTAACCTCTCGCTGAGACAAAATGAGATACTTTGTGCGGTAAATCCTCAAACATAAAAGAGGAAAGTTAAGACTCAAACACAATCTGGTCCAAAGAACACGAACAGTTTGCTTCTGCAGGAGCCGACAGAAACCACAGTTTGTTTCATTTAGCATGCCATCAGGGTGTGAGAACAGCAGGACTTTTTAACTAAAGCCATTTTAAGTCCAACCCAACCAGCTTAACCTAGTGAACATCTCTGGGGACAATATCTAACTGAGAACAGTAATAACACTTAAACTGGGGTAGCTGGAGCTCAGTGTACACATTATGCTTCTGGAAATGTGCCTTTAATTATTTTTAAACTCTACAACAACTTCTGCATAGTTTACAGGATGTTGTGCCAACCTGCTGTTCGTAGGCTGCAGCTCTGTTCTGGTAAAACGTTGACAAATCCGACTTCTGCTCTGTGGGGCACAGAGCAATGGCCTCTGTGTAGCACTGTATGGCGTTTTCATACTTTCCAGCTTTGAAGTACTTGTTGCCTTTGTTCTTAGATGCTTGGGCCCGATCCAAAGGACTCTAAATGAAAAAACAAAGAGAGAGAAGGACAATTATTGATTTGTCCAATAAACTGGAAACGTGACCAAGGAAACA